GCCAGTCCAGTATGGCCTGGGTCTTCTCTGGGTCCGCCCTCAAACGACCACTCTCCAGGATGAAGCCCAAGAACTTGACAGAGGGTACGTGGAACTCGCACTTCTCCGCCTTCACAAACAATCTGTTCTGGAGGAGGCGCTGTAGCACTGCCCTCACATGTTCCTTGTGCTCTGTAATGTTCTTAGAGAAAATCAGGATATCGTCTAAGTAGACAGAAACAAAACGGTTAATATAATCCCCCAGCACAGAATTGATTAAAGCCTGGAAGACAGCCGGAGCATTGGTCAGACCAAAAGGCATTACCAAATATTCATAATGTCCAAGTGGAGTCTTAAAAGCAGTCTTCCACTCATCCCCCTCCTTAATCCTGACCAGGTGGTAAGCGTTTCTGAGGTCTAGTTTGGTGAAGACAGTGGAGCCCTGCACGGGTTCAAAAGTGGATGACAGGAGAGGCAGGGCATACTTATTCTTCACAGAAATGTTGTTGAGTCCCCGGTAGTCTATACACGGTCGCAGCGTGCCATCCTTCTTGGGGACAAAGAAAAACCCCGCTCCCAAAGGGGAGGTTGAGGGTCGAATCAGTCCAGCAGCCAAACTTTCGGATATGTATTTCTCCATACACTCCCGCTCAGGTTTGGAGAGGCAGTAAAGGCGACTGGTAGGAAGAGGAGCTCCTGGAAGTAGCTCAATACTACAGTCAAATGGTCTGTGAGGCGGAAGGGTGGCTGCATGTTCCTTACTAAAAACACTCCCAAGATCATGGTAACTTTTGGGAACTTCTGAGAGGTCTGGGGGCACAGAAGTAGTCGGGCGGTCCCTTGTGGAGAAAGGGAGTGCGGACTTGAGGCACGATTCAGAGCAGCGGGGACTCCAGGTCTCGATGCAGTTTGACTGCCAGTTGATGTGCGGGTTGTGGACTGAGAGCCAGGAATGACCCAAAACTACAGGGGCGTTTTGTGATGGAAAAACAAAAAACGAGAGTTCTTCAGTGTGATTACCGGATATTCTGAGAGTGAGGGGAGCTGTGCGGTGAGTTATTGTGGTGAGAGAATTACCATCTAGAGACGAGACCGCTAGAGGCGTAGATAGAGGCACAGTGGAAAGTTCTAACTGTTTCACCAGCTCAGAGTCCATAAGGGACTGCTCACAGCCAGAATCTAAAAGGGCGTGACAGTCGAGGGCGTGAAGTCTAGAAATTACGGTACAGGGAATGATGCTACGAGAGGTTCCACTGGTTATACTGCCCATCATTACTCTCGTTCCTAACGACGGGCCCTGTCTTTTAGTGAAGGACACTTCGAGACATAATGGCCTGCGAGTCCACAATATAAACACAGACCTGACCTGCGGCGTTGCTGCTTCTCCTCTGGGTCCAGATGTGTACGACCCAGCTCCATGGGTTCCTCCCTCGGGCTCTGGTTTTTAGGTTGCGACGGAGACTGAGAAGGGTAATTAGGTGAAGGTGTACGAGTACCTGATTGTCTCTCCCGGTGTCTTTTATCAATGCGGATCGCCAGATCGATCAGTCCAGTTAGAGTGGCGGGTTCAGCACAGAACGCCAGTTGGTCTTTAATCCTCTCAGACAAAGCCTTAGAAAAAACCCCTTTTAGAGCCTCCTCATTCCAGCTCGAGGAAGCCACGTAGGTCCAGAAGTCTATGGCGAACTCAGCTACCGATCTCCGCCCCTGAGATAAATGAAGCAGCTTATGTGCCACGTCACCAGGTGTCTCCTCACATCCGAAGGTTAGTTTAAAATCCTTAACAAACTCAGAATAAGAGCCGGTTAAAAATGTTTCATCATGGCTCCTAGCCTCTGCCCAGCGGAGAGCTCGCCCGCGTAGCAGACCAACAACATATGAAATGCGAGCAGATTCTGTAGTGAATGAATGAGGTGAACGTCCGAAGGCTAGCCTGCACTGAAGCAGGAAACCCTGGCATTCAGAGGACTCACCCTCAAACGTGTCGGCAGGCGGTGAGGGGGCAGCCCGGAAGTGTTGGAGAGCTGGGAGTTCCTGAGCAACGGCCCCGGGTGGAGCTCCTGGTTCCGGAGGTTCCGTAACTGGGGGCTGACTGCTGTGCAGGTTTTGAAGCAGGGCTTCCATACGGAGGAGACGTTGATTAGAGGCCGAAGTTTGTTCCATGAGGGCTTGTAAGGTCCGGTCGTGGAGAGCCAGCGTGTCGGAGATGGATGGGGAAGGGGGTTCTGCAGAGTCAGGAGTATGGCTGGAAGATTCTGACATGACTGAGGGGAGTTTCCTGACCCAAGACATGCAGAATGATTCGGAGACAGAGGTAGGAAAAAATAAGATACAATTTTATTTCTTTTAACTGAACTAAAGAGGCACCACAAAATGTGGAGATGGGTAGCAAAGGCGCAGAGCACTCTTTCCGGTGGCCGGGGTCTGTAGGATAGACAGAGGTGAGGATCTTGTGGCTGAAGTGGAATAAATTCTTCGGAGGAGTCTTACTGTAGGAAGCTGGCTTTGATGTCTGGGCAGATCTGGGGTGAGCTGTGGCAGAGGTGTTGGTACTGGGGCGTGATCCAAGAGGTGAGCGGAGGAGAGCGGTGGGGTCCACCAGGAGGAGGGAGATCTGTAGCACGGTTCCAGATTATGGCTGAGGTTGGATGAGGCAGGTCTGAAGATGATCCTGAGGAAAGCAGGGCGAATGATTACTACGCTCATTAAGAGCACAAACACCATCTGTAGCTACTAGGACTGAGATAACAATAACTGTAGCGATCTATAAACTGTGACAAGAACTGTAGCTTGTACTAAAGGCAAGACAGAACTACCCAAGTTGAGTAATCTTCCAGCGAGGTGAAGTGATCTCCCAGCTCCTTATAAACCCTGGCAGGTGATGGGAAACACACCGCAGCTGGCCACTCTCCAGCACCGCTCACCTGCAACGACTTGGTGGTAATTAGTTGAATGTGCAGACTCACCCCAGATCCTGACATTAGGAAGGATAGGGAAATTGGGAAAGGGGGTGGAATTGCAACTTTTGTCAGGAATGGTTTAAGGTATAGAGTTGTCAAAATGGGGAAGGGTGAAGAGTTCGTTGGAATAGAAATATTTACAGATAGTGGGAATTTGTATGTAGTGAATTATTATAATCCATGTAAGAAACTAGAACTGAATGGCATGAAAATGTTGCTAGAAAATAGTTGTAAGAATGTATTGGTGTGTGGTGACTTTAATGCACATAATACGGTGTGGGGAGGAAAGAAAACGGATTTAAATGGTGAGGTGATTGAGGAATTAATGGATGAGATGAATTTGGTATGTTTGAATGATGGACGAGGAACAAGAATGGATGTCAACTCGGGTATGACTTCGGCGATAGACCTTACTTTAACTTGTAGTGCATTGGCTGGGAAGAGTGACTGGGAGGTCCAGGACACTTTGATGGGCAGTGACCATTATCCGATTTTAATTAAGATTGGGGGCTTTAAGGATTTGACTACTGAAGTTAGGGGGGAAAGGTGGGTGTTTAGAAGGGCAAATTGGGATGAGTTTAGGCGTATTTGTGAAGAGAGTCAAGTTAACGTGCAAATACGAGGTGGAACAGACGTTTCGGAAAGTACTTACTGAAGCAGCTGCCAAAACGATTCCAAAAAGTAAAGGTACTATGAAAAGACGTTGTGTGCCTTGGTGGACTGCTGAATGTGAAGAGGTCATTAAAGAGAGGAATAGGAGTTTGAAGGAATTAAAGAAGACTCATACTTATGAGAATTTATTGACATATTAAAGATTACGGGCAGTGGTGAGAAGAACAATCAAAAGTGCTAAGAGGGAAAGTTGGAGAACTTTTTGTGATAGTGTAACACTTCTGGAGTCGTTACAGTATACTAGGACCAGTTAGGTTGGACTACTAGAGCAGTAATGAAGGTGAATTGTCATAAAAAACCCACAGACCAGAAAATAAGTTTAAATCACCGGCTTATTATTTTTAGAAAAACAGAAAATAGACAGTTGACATACAATTCACAATAGACATAAAACATTTAACACCAAGGAAATAAGATATTTTAATTTCCCCCTTTTTTTTGTCCAGTAGTTCCCGTTTATCCTATTTGTCTCAAAACCTTTAATTTGGCTTTACAAGGATGCCAGGGGTGGACCGTTAAAGCGCCCGAGCACCAATGGCGCAAAATTTTCTCGTCGGGCGGTAAATACTTGACGACTTACCGCCCGGGTGGCGCCCAAGCTTTATTTGTCATTTACACACCGGCTTTCACCTACATCATGGCCCCGCCCTGTAGGAAGCCGCCGTTTTCGTTTCGCGTGCGTGAACCTGCGCGCCTCTAGCCACGTACTGCACGATTAGTTATAGTCACGTGAACTATAAGTTCACTATTAAAGACGAAGTGGAACCACGCTAGAAACACACAAGCACGCAGGAAGATCGCGCCACCACAGGGATGGGATTTCTTGATGAAATCTCCGGCAAAACGCTTTAAAACTGGTTAGGAGAAGCGAGACAGTTCGAAACGGTATGAAGCAGAGAAGCGTGTGCGTAGGTGAAATGATTCTTGGCGGTTTAAAGAAGACGGGAGGCGCAGAGAGTGGCCGTGTTCGAGTTGAGCAGCGCCTCGCCTGGAAAACAGACGAGAGCAGACGGAAGCAGCAGGAGGAGTGGCTGAAAGCCGGCGAAACGCCGGGGACACACCGGCCGCGGAAGCGCCCGAAGCGAATCGCTCACGAAGTCCGGCCGCTGCTCGCCGCTCCTCAGTTCAGATCAGATGCGCCCCATTCGAGGCGCGCCTCGGCTCCGCTGTGGTTTTTCTTTTAACTACCTGGTGTCCTCAATTTCTTCAGCTCTTTTCCTCTACGTGTGTGTGTGTGTGTGTGTGTGTGTGTGTGTGTGTGTGTGTGTGTGTGTGTGTAGAGGAGAGGAGAGAGACTATGGTGTGAACCAGTTGTTTCTGTCAGTTGAATCTCTTGGATTTTCCTGCATGTGTAGCTCGGGGGTGATGATGGCTGAAGATATCGCGTTAGCGTTCACACTTGTTCAATTTTTAATTTTAATTCTGGTGCCTGTTAGCAGCTGAAACACATCCTCACGTGCTTGTGGATATCATATATTCTATATGGAGACATGACTGTAATAATAAGGAAAGGTTATCAGCTGTAGCTTCAGTGTGCTCATAGGAAACGTGACAAAAGAACACAAAACACATTTCTCTTTATGGCCTATATTGTCATCATCAACGTAACATGATTTACAGAATACATGTGACCAACTAACATTTCATGTTCTACCACCGGATGTTTGGATCAAAATATGAACCAATCAGATCTTAGATCAGGTGAGAGCCAGGTGTTTCCCGTCATCCTCTAGGTTTTGCAGCCAAGGGAGAGCAACTGCAGCGCCTTGCTTCAAAATCTGCGGCCGCCTTGATCTCACGAGGTTATCGTTGCCTACGTATGCATGACGTCAGAGCAAGTCGGCGTCAATTCGGACACAAATCTAACTGGCATGCACTGCTCGCCGATCACCGGTGATCTAATCTGCACAGAACTGGCTCATCTCGAACACAGTCAATGGCTCGAGTACAGCAAAGCGGAGTTGGTGATGTACTGCGTTGTATGCCGGAAGTATGCAACGACAAAATCGTGTTTTGTTGAGGGAACAAACAAATTCAAACTTGAATACGTTATTGTGTTTGTGAATGTGTACAAAATAAAGGTTTATTACATTTAAAACGGTTCAGTTGTTATTTTGACTCGTTTTGGCAGCTGACCAGCGGGGCCGGTAGATTCTTGGCGGGGCCGGTAAATATTCAGAGTTACCGGCCCGGCTGGCCGGTTGGTTTTGAAGTTAATGTCCACCCCTGGATGCTATTTTCAACCTAGGTTATTGTTTTTATTAATTTCAAGTTCTAAGTTCAAGTTTGTTCTTTGATCTATTTAAGTTAACACTGTGTTATTTTAAATCTAGTTTAGTTCTTTAATTCCAAAATTTAATTTAATTTTGGTTTAGTTCACCTTTAAATTTCAATTATTTCCTATTTGGTTTCACCCACAAAATTTACATTTTCATTAATACCATGACAGCATTAAAATGTGTGGTTGACCAAAATAAAAAAAATAAACAGCATAAATGTAAAAACTTAAAACAATTCAGCAAAAGGCTGAACAAACCCTTTAAACAAAAAAAACAAAACAAAAAATGTATTTCTCCTTTAACCATAAATCCCAGAATTATTCTGAATGTTTATCCCGTGCTTTGTGAGTCCAGCGTTCTTCTGCAGAGGTGTATGGATAAATCCTACCAGATTCCAGTGAAAGAACGCAACGTCCAGCAGGGGGAGTTTTTCTCCTTCTGCAAGGCACAGTTCAAGGGGTCCGAGGGCGGCTCGCCATCTTGTTTCACGCTTAGGAAATCCAACTCCGGTTCTAGCTCAGCATTTCCCGGTCCAAACCTTAATGGCCTACCATAACGATAGAATAAGGTGCATAAACATTTAAAAATAACACACAGATAGCCCTTAGGTAACAGTAAAAGTCTGTTTTTTTAGCTCATTTAGTCCTCAACGAGGTGGTGCCAACATGGCGCCCTGAAAACACATCAACGGCCTATGAACTACCGCCTGTGTGTCGAGTAAGCACAAATTCAATGCTGAAATCAACCATTTTAACATTAAACAACAGAAATCTGCTACCTTGGCTTTCCATTTACATGAAATTAGCAATATAATACAACAAAACATTTTGTAGCATTCAGTCAATATCGAGAAGGCCGGAACTGATGGTGAATGATGATTTATTGAGCCGTCCGTATCATCAACCAACCAACGTAAGAGCTAGCATAAACAAAAAATAAATAAATCATAAAATAAACCATAATGCATAACTGATTACATTGGTAGTCGTTTTCACAATTAATACAATCATATAGACACGTTCCGTTTTCATAACAACATTCTGAATTATAGTTACAAACCTTGTTCCCCTTATCAACTGAAGCTAGACAGAAGTATTCTTCAAACTTTCTTTGTCTTCTTCTCCGTGAACCGTTAATAGCCTATCCTTTGCTCTGTCTTTACTTCTAATAGATTTCCGTTTGCTTCTTCTGTGTTGCGCCCGTTGCGCCTCCCTACTTGGCTACGGTTGCTATGACGCTATCAAAATAAAAGCCCGTATACCTTTGCCGTTGTTAAACATAAAGAAATAGTTCACCTTTACATTCACCTTTACACTCCCACCAAATTATTTACTATTGAACATATAAACACAAATAATTTTTCCATAACAATAACAGTAGCTTAACAGATACTTTGTATAAAATTCAAAAACAAAAAAAAATAAAATAAAACATTTTCCAACACTTTAAAGCATTGTAGATTCAAACATTACAGTCTTCTAACAACAAGACCAACTTATGAACGGGGCGTTCTACCACAGACATTTTGCTGACACGTTGGCCCTTATTGTTTAGATTTTTGTCTGCAGAGGCTATTTTGACCTTTCTGACAAGTCCATCAGTGTCCTGCACAGTGTCCACGATTCGACCAAGTTTCCATTGAGAGCGTGGTAGCATGTCATCTTTGTCCATCACTATGTCTCCAATTTGCATGTTTCTTTTTGGTGTGTGCCATTTTTGTCTCACTATAAGGTTCTGAAGGTACTCTTTTCTCCATCTGTTCCAGAACTGCTCAAGAAGGTACTGAACTTGGCGCCATCGCTTTCGTGCATACAAGTCCTCTTTTATGAATGTTCCGAGTGGAGGCAGAGCACTTGAAGTTTTCATTGTGATACACTTGTCCTTGCAAATCTTTGATGATCACAGTTTCAGCTATTTTCCTTTCAGCTACAGTGGTGAGTGTCTTTGATTTGTCTTTGAGCAGATATCGTCTGAGACGTGCAACAGCACTAACTGCACGGGACCAGGAGGAGAACTTTGTGAGGTGGTCACTGAGACTTGCATGTTTTACAGCTTGAGTGTTTAGGGTCTGCACCTTTCTCACGTCTGGGTCTCCTACTGGGAGCTCGATAGTCTTTCTTGTTGGAAGCTGTATTTCTCCTTTCCACAGAAACTGAGGGCCGGTGAGCCAGTTGGATGAAAGCAGTTCCTTTACAGAAGTGCCCCTGGAAGCCATGTCGGCGGGATTTTCATCAGTAGGTACATGAAACCATTGTTGCGGTGAGGTGTGGCTCCGTATTTTCGGCACTCTATTCGCAACAAACGTGTGGAAGCGCCTTGCCTCATTATTTATGTACCCTAAAGTGACCTTTGAATCTGTCCAAAAGAACTCTTCTACATCATCGTAGAGCAGCTCCTCCTTTAGCATTTTGCTCACTGTGACTGATACTGTGGCTGCGGTGAGTTCCAACCTGGGTATAATGGTGACCTTTGTGGGTGAGACACGTGCTTTGCCCATGACAAAGGCACAATGAACTTCTTTGTTTTTGTTTGTGAGTCTAAGATAGGTACATTGGCCGTATCCTGTGGTGCTTGCATCTGAAAAGTGATGTAATTCTCTTTTGATCACTTCTCCAAATTCTGCAGGAGCATAACATCTGTTTATCTGGACGTTCTTTAAACTTTGCAGGTCTCCTTTCCAGCACTCCCACCGTGGCCTGAGGTGATCTGGTATTGGGTCATCCCAGTCTGTTCCTTGACGGCACATTTCTTGGAGAATTCCCTTGCCGTTGAGCACATAAGGAGCTAAAAATCCGAGGGGATCATATATTGCTGCAACTGCTGATAGGATGCCCCGCCTGGTTGGGGGTTGGTCCTTCAGCATGATGTTGAACGTAAAGCAGTCTTTCTCTACATTCCAATAAATGCCAAGGGCTCTTTCTGTTTGTGCCTCTTTGAATGTCAAGTCCTTTGTTTTTGTATCTGTTGCCAGCTCTGATGTTGGGATGCTGTTTAAAACATCAGTGTTGTTGGATACAAACTTATGCAGCCTTAATCCACCCTTTGCACATAGATTACGTGCTTCCTTTACTAGTTGAATAGCATCCTCAGTTTTTTGTACGCTGGTGACTCTGTCATCTACATAGAAGTCCCTGGTTATGAACTGTGAGCCTACAGGATATGCAGATCTGTTTTCCTTAGCCAGATGTTTGAGTCCATAGTTCGCACACCCTGGGGATGAAGCAGCGCCAAAAAGGTGGACTGTCATCCTGTATGCTTGTGGCTGGCTGTTAAAGTCACCATCCTTCCACCATAAGAAGCGCAAATAGTTGCGATCATCTTCCTTAACCTGAAACTGGTGGAACATTTTTTCAATGTCGCACATTAGAGCGACTTTATGCTGTCTGAAGCGCACCAAAACACCAGTTAAACTGTTGATCATGTCAGGGCCATTTAGTAAATGATCATTAAGGCAGGTACCATTGTGCTTAGCTGAACAGTCAAAAACTATGCGCAACCTGTCAGGTTTCTTTGGATGATAAACACCGTGGTGAGGTATATACCATGTCTCACCAGGTGGTCCAATATCGTCAGTTTATTCTGCATCACCTCTTTTGATCATTTCATTCATGAATTTCATGTAATCCTCCTTGTATTTTTGATCCTTCATGAGTTTGCGTTTCAGTTGACTTAGTCTGCTTTCAGCAAGTTTTTTGTTAGTTGGCATTTGAGGTCTTTTCCTGAACGGCAATGGCATTTCATAATTTCCCTTTTTCGTTTGTACTATGCCTTCCTCAAGTTTTTGGAGGAATAATAGATCCTCTTGTGACACAGTCTTTTCATTTCTTTCAGCATCTTTAAAGTCTCTTTCCAATACACGTATTGCATCTGCTGGAGTGGAAGGAGGAACCTCTTTAACGGTGCATCTGTGTCATGAACTCCTCCTCTTAACCTCCTCTGCGGGCCGGGCTGGCGCTGCACTCCAGTTCCCAGCATGCCTGTCACCGACGCTTCCCGGTGACGTCATCCCGCTGAGCCTATTTAAGGACCTGTCACAGCGGAGCCGGCACTCAGTCATCATCTAACGATAGACGCCAAGCCATTCTAAGACCTAAGACACTAACTCTACAAACCATACGGGAAGAGAACTTCCCACGCTGCCACATATCAGTCTCCATCCACCATTCTCTCCGCGCCTGGGTCTCATAACCACTCCAGCTCAGCCCACCGAACCTGACAGGATGACTGAGTCCCGAGTAGACCCAGCGGAGATCGCACAGCTGCGAGCTGAGGTAGCGCAGCTGCTCAGCCGAGTAGAACGCCAGGAGGCGGACAACGCCCAACTCCGTGTGGAGAACAATCAGCTGCGTGCTGTTACTGATCGCCTCGCATCCAAACTCGATTCCGTCACCGAACTGGTAGTCCAACTCTCCTCAGCCCTCCAACGACAGTCATCTGCCACTCCTAACGTGGTGGAGCCGTATCTAAGTCTCCCAGAGAAATGGGATGGGATTAAAGGATCCCCGGAGAGCATGTTGGCCGTTCTGTCAATGACTTTTGAGTGTCAGCCGGCACGCTACCCGACTTCCTGCTCTCGCGTGGCTCTGTTAACCTCCCTGCTGACTGGGCGAGCCGGTGAATGGGCGGCTGCTCTGTACCATCAGAAGTCCCCAGTCTGCAACGACTATGAAGCCTTCGTGAAAGAACTGAAGAAGGCATTCGTTCATCCCAGCAGCGAGGTCGCAGATGAGACACGCCTGCTCCAGCTTCGACAAGGCTCTCAGACCGTGGCCGAATTCACCTCACGCTTCCGGACCACCGCTGCCCGTCTAACCTGGGGTGATGCCGCGGTGAAGGCTGTGTACTTGGAGGGATTGTCACCCCGCATCCGTGAGGGCATGATTGGTCACGAGGCTCCAACCACCCTGGACCAGGCGGTGGACCTGGCTCTCCAGCTGGACCGCTGCCTCCTCACCAGACCAGGAGTGAGGGCGGTTCCCGTACAATCCCGAACTTTCCCCCGCCGTCAGGAGAACCAACCCATGGAGGAACCCATGCAACTGGGTCATTTGCCCCCCGAGGAACGGGCGCGCCGTTTTCAGGAGGGACGATGCGCCTATTGTGGGGCTCTGGGTCATCCCCGTGCAACATGCCCCATACGCCCGGGAAACGGTCCCTCCGGGTCGGTGTAGGAGCTGCCTCACTCGGAGTTTCCACTCATGCAGCTCCTCATCACACCACCCTCTCGGTCTCCTTCCAGCTGAGCCAAGGACCGGTCCCCCTGGTGGCCCTCCTCGACACCGGAGCTGCAGAAAGCTTTATCGATCAGGGGTTGGTCAACCGGCTCAAGATTCCACTCACCCTCCTCGATCATCCCGTTCCCGTCACCTCAGTGGACGGGCGCCCTCTCATGCCATATCCGATCACGCACCGAACCCAGAACCTCCGGATGACCATCGGAGAACACGTAGAGACCCTTCATTTCTTGGTCATTCACGCCCCTACGACTCCTCTCATTCTGGGTCATTCCTGGTTCCGCCTCCACGACCCTCACATCTCCTGGTCCACCAGTAAAGTCATGGCATGGGGTGTTAACTGTCGCCTTCATCATCCGTCTCCAGGATCACAGCCTAGGGAGACACCACCCAAGGATGTGGATTTAACACTCCTTCCAGGATCACAGCCTAGGGAGACACCACCCAAGGATGTAGATTTAACACTCCTTCCACCCCAATACCACGATCTGGCTCGGGTCTTTGCAAAGGAGCCTACCACCAAGCTGCCTCCTCATCGCCCCTACGATCTGGAGATCAGGCTTCAGCCCGGAACCACCCCGCCTCGGGGTCGGCTGTTCTCGCTCTCCCCGGCAGAGACCCAGGCGATGGACGCTTACATCAATGAGGCTCTCCAGAAGGGGTTTATCCGACATTCCACGTCTCCTGGGGCGGCAGGGTTCTTCTTTGTGAAGAAGAAGGAAGGTGACCTCCGGCCCTGTATAGACTATCGTGGATTGAATAAAATCACCATCAGGGACCGCCATCCTCTTCCCTTAATGAGCACGGCTCTGGACGCCACTGCCCAAGCCACACTGTTTACCAAGCTGGACCTCCGCAGTGCATACAACCTCATCCGCATAAAGGAAGGAGAGGAGTGGAAAACCGCTTTCATTACACCCACTGGACATTATGAGTACCTGGTCATGCCCTTCGGCCTCTGCAACAGCCCTGCCGTTTTCCAGCGTTTCATCACTGATGTCCTCCGTGACATGCTGGGTCGTTGGGTTTTTGTTTATTTGGACGACATCCTCATCTACTCCCGCACGGCCGAGGAACACACCCAGCATGTTCGAGCCGTTCTGTCACGCCTCCTGGAGCACGACTTATTCTGTAAACTGGAGAAGTGTGCTTTTCACCAGGAGTCCACCTCGTTTCTGGGATTCATCATCTCCTCCCAGGGCCTGCGCATGGACCCACAGAAGGTTCAGGCGGTCGCGCAGTGGCCACTACCCAAGACCCTGAAGCAGTTGCAGAGTTTCCTGGGGTTCTGCAACTTCTACCGCCGGTTTATCCGCAACTTCAGCGCCCTGGCGTCACCATTAACTTCCCTGACGAAAACAACCAATCAGCCTCGCCCTTTCCGCCTCTCCCCGGAGGCTGTTGCTGCCTTCCATGAGCTGGTCCGCCGCTTTGTAAGCGAGCCCATCCTCCTCCACCCGGACCTAACCCGGCCTTTCGTTGTGGAGGTGGACGCCTCTGAGACGGGCGCGGGAGCCGTACTGTCACAACGTGGCCAGGACTCCAAACTCCATCCCTGCGCATTCTTTTCCCGGAAGTTCTCTCCTACCCAGCAGAACTATGGGGTCGGGGACCGGGAATTGTTGGCGATAAAGTGGGCCCTGGAGGAGTGGCGACAGTGGCTCCTTGGTACCCCCACTCCTTTTCTAATCTGGACTGATCATCAGAACCTCATCCATATTCAGACCGCTCGCCAACTCAACCCTCGTCAGGCCCGGTGGGCCCTCTTTTTCGAACCTTATAACTTTCACATCGCCTACCGCCCCGGCTCAAAGAACCTCAAGGCGGACGCCCTGTCCCGTCAACACACCCAGGATCCAAGGCCTCCTGAACCGAGGTCCATCCTCCCGACCGAACGGTTCTTGGCCGCCCTGCAATGGCCCCTGGAAGCCTCCATCCGGGCGGCTCTCCCGGCGGACCCGGCGCCCCCAGAGACGCCTCCTAACCGCCTTTACGTTCCGGCCGTGTGTCGACAGGAGGCCTTGAGGTGGGGGCATAGTTCACGGCTCGCGGGACACCAAGGCCAGGCTCGTACCTTCCAGTTCCTCCGCCGGGCCCTGTGGTGGCCCTCTATGAGAAAGGACGTGCGTGAATACACCGCTGCATGTGACACTTGCGCCCGGTCTAAGTCCACCACCCAACCTGGAGCCGGGGAATTGCAACCGCTCCCTGTGCCTAAAAGGCCGTGGTCGCACATAGGTGTGGACTTTGTCACGGGGCTTCCCGTTGCCGACCACCTGGACACCATCCTCACCATCACCGACCGCTTTTCGAAGGCTGTGCACTTAGTGGCTATGGCAGGGCTCCCCACGGCTAAGAAGACGGCGGAGCTCCTCCTCGATCATGTGGTGAGGCTCCACGGATTCCCCCAGGACGTGGTGTCTGACAGAGGGCCTCAGTTCATCTCACGTTTCTGGAAGGCTTTCTGTCGGTTGGTGGGCGCTTCCGCCAGTCTGTCGTCAGGCTATCATCCCCAGACTAATGGTCAGACGGAGAGAGCAAACCAGCAGCTTGGGCGTTACATACGCTGCTTCGCCTCGTCTCAACCGTCCACCTGGCCTCGTTACCTCCTATGGGTGGAGCTCTCTCACAACCTCCAGACGTCCTCCGCCACGGGTCTATCGCCCTTCGAGACCTGCTACGGATACCAGCCCCCTCTTTTTGACCATCAGGTGCCGGAGGTGGAGGTTCCGGCGGCTCAGGATATGGTCCGCCGCTGCCGTCTCGCTTGGATCAGGGCTCGCGCCGCCATCACCCGGGCTAATACGGAGTACTCCCGACAACACCGCCGCCGCCACCGGCCCGGCCCTGTGTTCCAGCCTGGTGACCGGGTTTGGCTCTCTACCGCAAACCTCCGGTTTCCGGCTGGTTCCAGGAAGCTGTCGCCTCGCTTTTTGGGGCCCTTCCCAGTCCGAGATGTCCTCGGTCCGGTCGCTTACCGGCTGCGCCTCCCTTCCACTCTTAAGGTGCACCCGGTATTCCACGTCTCACAGCTCAAGCCGGTGGTGTCTTCTCCTCTCCATCCGCCTCCGGCCCGGGTGCCGACGCCCCGAGATGTCGATGGGGACCCCGTCTACACCGTCCGCAAGATTCTGGACGCCCGCCGCCGGGGCCGTGGATGGCAGTATTTGGTGGACTGGCAGGGTTACGGTCCGGAGGAACGTAGCTGGGAGCCTGCCCGCTCGTTTCTGGATCCTTCCCTGTTGGCTGATTTCTGGTCTCGTCGCCCTGGGCCTTCTGGAGCCGTCCCTCGCGGGGGGGTGGGGGGGGGGGGGGGGTGTCCTGTCATGAACTCCTCCTCTTAACCTCCTCTGCGGGCCGGGCTGGCGCTGCACTCCAGTTCCCAGCATGCCTGTCACCGACGCTTCCCGGTGACGTCATCCCGCTGAGCCTATTTAAGGACCTGTCACAGCGGAGCCGGCACTCAGTCATCATCTAACGATAGACGCCAAGCCATTCTAAGACCTAAGACACTAACTCTACAAACCATACGGGAAGAGAACTTCCCACGCTGCCACATATCAGTCTCCATCCACCATTCTCTCCGCGCCTGGGTCTCATAACCACTCCAGCTCAGCCCACCGAACCTGACAATCTGTGACAAAGCCTGGTTGCCATGTCTGTTTTCTCTTCAGGGTCTGAGTTGCCTACAATGCTCCATCCCAAATCAGTCTGAAGAGCATAAGGCTCATTATCTTTGCCTAAGATTACTTGTTTAGGTGCTAGAGCTCTAGGACAAGTATAACCTATGAGGAAACTTATCTCACAACTGAGAAGTGGAGGGATTTCATCGGCAATGGGCAGCAAGTGGCTCCACTGTTTGGCTGTTTCACATGTGGGTATGTGTTCTCTGTTAGCAGGGATGCAGTCCTTTGAATATGCCGTAGGAAGCTTTATGACTGTGGCTGAGTTATAGCCTCTCACCAAGAGATCAGACACCCTTTCACTGCTTACAACTGCATTTTTCCCCATCATGGTAGTCAGTTTTAGCTTTACTGGGTAAACATCTGCCTGCAGCTCATGTGTTACATCCTGATCAATGAAGACAGCATCACTCTGCGTGTCTAATAGCGCATAAACCAGTTTTTCTTTGAGTGGGTTGTTAGCAGTTGACAGCCACACTGGAACTATCATTGATGTGCTGATTGTGTGTTCAGGTCTGGCAACATTGAGTGGCATAGCTGTCGCTGCTGCAGGTGAGTTAACTTGAGTTCCATTATTTACACTCACATGTGTCTCCTTTTGTAGGCTGTTCCAATAATTATCGTCATGAAGACAGGTAGGATGCCTCTTTGAGCAGGTGTCACAACTGAAGCGGCGTTTGCAGTCTTTGGCATTGTGACCTTGTTTTAGACAACCATAACAAAGTTTCTTCTCCTTCACAAACTTTCTTCTGTTCTCTAGAGACAGTTTTAAGAAGTCTGGACACTTGTGGAGTGGATGTGCAATCTGACACAGAACACATGAAAAATCATTTGATGTTATTATTATTGACTGTGTGTTACTTTGTTCCGTTGAATTTGTCTTAAAAACACTTGCTTTGTTCGCTTTTCGTTCTCTTGTGTTTCCTTTGTCGCTGTTAGTTTCAGAGTAACGAAGGGCATGAATGGAGGTGAATGGGTTACATGCAACTTCAGCTTCAACAGAGAGAAAGGATGCAAAGTCACTAAAACTTGGAAACTCACCACCTTCCATTAAAGTCTTTGTTACCTGTCTGTTCCATCTTGCATTTATCCAATCTGGAAGTATTTGCAAACCCTTTACATGAGGCATAGCGAGCATGCATGCATTTAGGAAGTCCGCGAAAGTTCTTAATCCATCAGCAT